AACAAATGGTTTCACGAACTAATAAGGGAGGGTATTAATAATTATAAACATTCAAAACAACTTTGGATCAGTGAACGTTTTTATTTCCCCACAGGCAAACTTTTTCAAATTTTCTTATAAAAATAAACCAGTCAATAGTTTAGTTTTCGGGAAACAAACCCGATTTTTTTAAAAAACAAATTACTTAGGGTACTTCATTTCTCTTGCGGTGCTACTTACATTGTCGTGAATGCTCATTTGACCATTGTAAAGCGTTGGAAGAAAAGAATTATACCTTCATTAATAATAATAAATTGAATTCAATATTTATAACAAAAATCGTGTCAAATAAGAATTGAGTATATACATTAATAGATATCCTCACGTTCTTGCTTATAGCCCCCCAGTGGCGCAGCGGTATGTCTGCGGACTTACAACGCTAGAAATCTGGTTTCGATAACCGTGGTGAGCAGAACACAGATAGCCCATTGTGTAGCTTTGTGCTTAACTTCAAACAAACAAACAAACATTTTTGCTTATAAGACTGAACGTAAACAATTCTATCTAATGCCCCCAGGGGGCTCAGCGGTAAGGCTGTTGGCTTATAACAATAAAAATTGGGTTTTGATACCCGCTGTGGGTCAAGCACAGATAGCCCATTGTGTAGCTTTGTGCTTAGAAGCAAACAAACCTATCTTATACTAAGTAACGTAATATTTAACTTGGTTATATTAAGTGATGAAGGATATCAATTAGCCAAACAATATCCGAATTCAAAACACAACCCCTGATAAATGTGATAAAAAGCAAATGAACTTTTATAATTGTTTATTTGTTTATTATGAGCTATCACGAGAGCTATCTCCGCTAGCCGTCCCTAATTTATACTAGAGGGAAGGCAGCTAGTTATCACCACCCACCGCCAACTCTTGGGCTACTCTTTTCCCAACGAATAGTGGGATTGACCGTCACGTTATAACGCCCCCACGGCTGAAAGGGCTAGCATGTTTGGTGTGACGTGGATTCAAGATTGCGAGTCGAGCGCCGTAACCACCTGGCCATGCCGGGCCGAACTTTTATAAACTAAAGAAAAATAATATTTGAGTAAATAGAACAATTCAGCTCTTCCATTAGTAGCACTAATAACAAAGTATACTAACAGGCGAACGGAAAATTGTAAAACAAGTACCTCTATGATTAGTGTTATATAAGTAGCAATTTATTTAAAATTATAAGGTAATGTTGCTTTCAGTAATAATGACCTTTTTATGTAACAGTAAAATCTTTTTCAGTTCTAATTATGTTCGTTAATACAACGAATATGCAATTTTAACGTACTCCATGATTTTATAACGAATTACCGTAACTACTATACTTAAGCCTTTATTAGAAGGCTTTCAATATTTTGTTTTGATCAAAAATAACGAGTACTTTTGGATAAAATGTCTGGAGTCAGTGCTTATAGATTTCTTAATCAAAACAAAATATTGAAAGCTTTCTAATATAGCAAATTTCAAAAGGTTAATACTACAAAATCTTAGATTAATTTACAAATTACAAAAACGCCTGCAAAAAGGTGTGATTTTCATATCTGGTCCAGTTTGAATATCAAAAGTCAATACTTTCCACTGATTTTTTTTTTAAATTCCTTTCCTGTTTTAATCATTCTATTGGGAAATCTAGCATGACGTCAAGAGCAGTTGTAATCTTACGCTGTTGACAAGTGTCGAACAAAAACAGGAACAAAAAACAAAACAAATTTCAAATAATCTTGAGCTGAGTTACAGTAACTAAGAAAACATTAATAGTACTGAAGAATAAAAATATTTTTTGTTTGATTTCCATGTAATCTTAGTTAGTTTGTCAAAAGTAAACACATTTTTATAAGTAAGTTTTATTTGTAGGTTATAATTTGTTCTCGATATGAGTAACATTTGTATTTCTGTGAATATTGCACATTTAATAAAAACGTAATTCGCTCAATGTTTGTTTGTTATGGATTTCGCGCAAAGCTACACGAGGGATATCTGCGCTAGCCGTCCCTAATTTAGCAGTGTAAGACAAGAAGGAAGGCAGATAATCATCACCACCCACCGCCAACGAATAGTGGGATTGACCGTCACGTTATAGCGCCCCCACTGCTTAGAGAGCGAGCATGTTTGGTGGGACGGGGATTCGAATCCGCGACCCGCAGATTGCGAGTAGAGTGCCCTAACCACTTCACCATGCCGGGCCGATAATTCATTCAAAAAATTAGAAATTTATAATTTTTATAATTATTTATCTGTTTGTTTTAGATCTGCCCGTTTTAATTAGAAGTAACTTGCTTGTTCGTCTTTAGATAAAAGGAAAATAAAAGAACTTCAGATTATTTGCCCTTCAACAAACGTAGTTGGCTTCAACAGGGGTTTACTAAGAAGACTATAAATTATAGCTAAAAAAATGAACTTCAGGTTTCAATCAGTAGAGATTATTCTTTTTTTTTATTAGCTTCAGTACAATGACTCGTTTGTTATTGTGCCTTTGTTTTTCCAGGGTAACAATGTTTATATTATGTGAGGCCCAGATGAAAGATATATTTAAATAAAAAATTAACGTCTTAAACGTAACGAAAAATAAAAAAAATAAATTAAACATCTTGAATTAAAAAAAGAAAACAGATTTTAACTTGTCTCTAAATTTAAACTGTTTTATACTTGATATTAGATCTGAGAAAAGAAACAGAACGAAAGCACAGGAGCTAGTCATTATTAGAAAATTAGTTAAAAAATTAACCATCAGCTAGTAATTTTAACTATTTTAATGTTGCAAAAAGTGTCGCTTGCTAGATTAGCTGTAAGCTCGGGGATTTATAACGTTAAAATTCTGGTTTCTATCCTTGCTGTGAGCACAGAATAGACAATATATTGTGCCGATTTATGCTTAAAAACAAGCAAATTAATTGAAAAGTACATTAAAAGTATTAGTTACAAGCTCTTATTGGTTGCTTCATTGTAGTAGCTTTGACTAGTGTAATATTTTACACATTTGTTTGTAGAAACATTTTACACAGTGTTTGAACTATAATGATTAAGCAAGTATATGGCACAGCGATACACAGTCTTTTCTTTTCGTGCTCCAATAATAACACACACACACACACATACACATCAGCTTCATAGCGTGGGAATAATACATAGATAGCCCTTCTCTCAGAATATAGTGATAAATACACACTACAGTCTTGAAGTGTGTATAGGTAAATACATGGCCCTTCTCTCTTAATATGGTGATAAATACAAACTCCACTATTTAGGTCTCTATGAGTAAATACATGGTCCTTCTCTCAAAATAGGGTGCTAAATACACACTACAGTCTTGAAGTGTGTATAGGTAAATACATGGCCCTTCTCTCATTTAGCACCCTATTTTGAGAGAACCATGTATAAATAGTGGAGTTTGTATTTATCACCATATTAAACACACTGTATTCTTGAAGTGTGTATAGATAAATATATGGTCCTCCTCTTAGAGCATGGTGATAAATATACACTCCAGTCTTGAAGTGTGTATAGATAAATATATGGTCCTCCTCTTAGAGCATGGTGATAAATATACACTCCAGTCTTGAAGTGTGTATAGATAAATATATGGTCCTCCTCTTAGAGCATGGTGATAAATACACACTCCAGTCTTGAAGTGTGTATAGATACACTCTCCAGGCTTTTAGTATATGGAAATAACTACACAGTCTCGTCTCTCAAAGTATTAATTAGATTTTCTTATTGAATTTCTATGACGCACTATCATCACACACAGTGAAAGTACCACCTTAAGGAATAATAGGTTGAAAAATCCGAATATGTTTTACAGTTTTATAGATATCTATTACTTTTCATAGTTCTCTTTTCTACGATTTATTTTTTAAAAAAGTGAAACAATCTCTCAAGTAAACTTAAAAAAAAAGGTTTCTAGATACAAAATATTTTAAATGTAAAAAAATGGACTGTGCTAAGAAATTACAAAAAGGATATTTTAATATAAGAAAAAAAGTCTATGTTGTAAAATTAAGTAAACTTATAAACATAAAAACAATTCCCATCCATTTAACTTACTGATGTAATTTCGCAATATATTTTGTTCACGAAAGAAAACCGATATAGAGTTTATTAAAAACATTAGCGAAAAACGTTTTTTTGTTTATGTGATTAGAGAGATAAAAAAAAAGACAAGAAACATACGTTTAGTAAGATAACTAACGAACTAACTGCCACTAGAAGCATGAATGAGAATCTCAAAATATGAATACTTAAAAAAAACTACTGGAGAAGCTTTCTATCTTCATGCTACTAACCATATATATGGGGTGAATATAAAGAAGGCTACATGTTCAACCAGTTTCTGCATGAAACCGGAGATTTCATGATACACCACATAATGACAGACTCTTCAATGTACTGCTAGACTAAATATTAATTTCAGAAATGAAAGTCATTTCATTCATTAATGTATGAAAAATCTAAATTTGTGTTTCCAAAACTGCTTGTTCCAATAAAATGAAATTTCACCAGAAGGATTGAGGATCATAAGTTTTATTCAGGAACGTTTGGACTGAGATTCCTACATAGTTTTGCATAGCTATATCGCTTTTATCTTGCAAACTAGCAATTGTTTCATTTTTCTGTCTGTTTGTTTGTTGTTTAGCAAAAGCTACACAAAGGGTTATCTGGACTATGCCCACCACGGGTATCGAAACCTGGTTTTTAGCGTTATAAACCTTCAGACTTACCGCTGAGCGACTGAGAGGGATGATTTTTTTTATAACCATCAATACGAGGTAAGTGATTTGAATAAAATGCGTGTCAGTGTGCAGGATAAAAGTGTGCTTATAACAGATGATATTTGCATTAACTTCATTTTGAGATATGCTGACTGAGAAAAATGGAAAACATATAGAACAACTTTTGTGACATGACAGGTTTTGAAACACACTGCACCATATCCATACTTTAACGAATAAAGTTTGTTTATGACTTTCAACGTGCTTCTGTTAAACTTAAGTTCCTGTAGGACAAGTAGATTTTAAGATATAATCATCCTAAATATGTTTACAACCATATAGCATTAAAGGGGTTTGTGAAACACCCCAGATGTTTTCTTTTTTCTAGCTTAGGGGCGTAAACATTTCATGCTCATTTAAAGTTTCCAAAAATGTATCACACGACTGCTCGTGTAGCTTTAACATTTGCTAATACAAATTCTGGAATGTAGCTGACTTTCTGCTCTTCTAGTTACGTATTGTCACAGGTGTTAATGTATTTAATTTCATATAATTTCTCTAGCAAAATGTATTATGTAGATATTTAATTTAATAACACCTGGAGATTAGATACGCCCTATGTTAACTAATGGAATGACAATTGACGTGAGAAACACATGCACCCTTGGAACTATCATGCTATTGTGTTCTCTATATCATGGTCAACTCCATTAATTAATAACAAGGCATCCCCAACCCATAACTAATCATTGTCGTTCACAGCCAGCCAAACGAAACTGAAGGTGCTACTGGTTGAAATGGTTTGTCAGCCAGGACTTTCTCATCACCATGTAAAGCAGTGAGCAACTGGTGATGAAAAGGAAATTCATTGGGCGGAAATTTAGCCTTTATGTTTGGAAAAATGTGCTATTACACAAACAATGAGTTATCGAGAACCATGTAGACATGCAAAACTGGAATAAAGCTTTCCTATGGTGACTCAGAAATCGTTTTGTCATCTAGACACATCTTGACACCTTAACAGAATCACACTATATAACAATGAGTGAGCACACCGACCTCCTACGAACGTGTCTACTAAACTGAATGATAAGGGTACCAAAAGGATATCAGAAAACCACACACCGACCTCCTATGAATGTTCCTATTAAACTGGATGATAGGGCTACCAAAATATGTCAGAAAACCATATACAGATCTAATATGAATGCTCCTATTAAACTGGATGATAGAGCTACCAAAAGGATGTCAGAAAATCACACACCGACCTCCTATGAATGTTCCTATTAAATTGGATGATAGGGCTACCAAAAGATGTCAGAAAACCATATACAGATGTAATATGAATGCTCCTATTAAACTGGATGATAGGGCTACCAAAAGATGTCATAAAACCACACACAGATCTGATATGAATGCTCCTACTAAACTATTGAAATGAACTATATTTTCTACCTTTTACCAGATAACCATAAGATGCACCTTTCAAATAGAAATTAACACTTGGATATAAGAGACACTATGCACAAATATATCAGGCCACAGAAAGTTACGCAGTCCTTTCAAACCAAACTAATTTCGCAACACATCCTACAAAAAATACAGGTTCAAAATTTGCTACATAAGCTGCGCGATAGAACAACCCCCTCTTTCTCTCGAGACCTCGTCCGATCGAGGAAAGCACGTGAAAGTGCCTAAACTAGTATTGGAGTATTTATACGTCCGATCGAGGAAAGCACGTGAAAGTGCCTAAACTAGTATTGGAGTATTTATACGTCTGATCGAGGAAAGCACGTGAAAGTGCCTGAACAAGTATTGGAGCATTTATACGTCCGACCGAGGAAAGCACGTGAAAGTGTCTAAACTAGTATTGGAGTATTTATATCAAAGTTACAAATGTGTGTGTGGATTTTAGTTTGAATTTAACACAAGTTGACGAGAAATTTGATCTAGGTATGCACTATGATACAGTACTGAAACACCCTCTATCATCCACAAACTTACTGGAATAAACATTTATAATCTTCACTGCTCATCCGCTGAAATTTGTTTAACTAGGACAATTATATTTTAAGACATAATTATTAATCAGCTCGTTTCTTTTGAAACAAAGTTTTTAAACTAATTTTATATATGTAAAAAATGAAGGTTGCACAACCTTCATCAGAAAGGCTTTTCTTAATGTAAAGGAATAAAGATCTCTCTGACTCAAATAAGGGCCTGGCATGGCCAGGTAGCTAGGGCGCTCGACTCGCAATCTGAGAGTCGTGGGTTCGAATCTCCGTCACACCAAACATGCTCGCCCTTTCAGCCGTGGGGGCGTTATAATGTGACGGTCAATTCATTGGTAAAAGAGTTAGCGGTAGGTGGTGATGACTAGCTGCCTTCCCTCTAGTCTTACACTGCTAAATTAGGGACGGCTAGCGCAGATAGCCCTCGTGTAGCTCTGCGCGACATTCAAAACAAACAAGCAAACAGACTCAAATAAATTTACTCCACAGCTAACAGAGTGTTTTAACATTTATCATACCAGCTGAAGTTCCTCTTCTAAGTAGCACAGATTAATGAAGTATTTTAATATACCAAAAATGATTTTTAGATGTTAAGTAAAATAAGTATAATGAACTTTATATGATTTATGTAATACGCAAAAGAAAGAAAGTCCAAAAAATATACACTGGGGAAAATAGAACATGGAACTTTGAAGTTGAAAAATTATATTAAAACACCAATAAAAATAAAATAATTTATTACTATACGTTTGTTTGTTTTTGTTTGAGCAAGGTAACATAGGACTATCTGCTGAGTTCGGATGTTAACATTGTAAGTACATAAAATTACCGTTGAGGGGACATAAAAACATCTACAATAAAGTTTTATGAGTTATTGATTTTTTTCCACATGTTGCAGCTGTGCTTATGGTGTCAAGTATTGTGTGCAGTAATAGATCTTGCTATCTACGTAGGTACAGCACAAAGAAATTTCCAAAGCCTGAGAGAGTGCTTACATTTCAAAATGTGATTACAAAAAACTCACAAATTTGATAATGAAACTGAAAATATTGTTTCCTGAGAGATATTTTGCTGTGATAGTTCGATATAATAATATTGTAGACAGTCTGACAGATATGAGTTCTCAGTGCAACAATTTTCTATGGTAGATTTGTTAGGATACAGTTAATAAGAAAAAAAAATCGTCTGCTGTCATCGTAAATATTATGGTTACACAGGATACATTTATCAATTATTAGTCACCGTAACGTTATTGTGTTGCTATGTTTTGTTTCACAATGACAGCTGCCCCAGGTACTTAGGATATGGGGGTTATAAGTTTCCTTATCCTTTCTTTTATCTTAATTTTATTGAATATTTTTTAAACACTATCTTCGGACTGATAACCTACAGGTTTAATGGTGTAACTCTGACACATTCGTAGTGCTATGTGATATTTATAGATTTAGAATCTGCGTTCCTAGGAAAAAGAATTGGGCTTTTAAGATACAACCCAGTTATTTTACATAAAACAAAGAGTTTCAGGTTACTGGATATCTTATCACTACTGGTATCTTTTGCACGAGTACAAACGTGCTCCAGCTCAAGTCTGCTTCTTTCATTATTATCTAAGTTTTGATATCACTGGAGGTGCTGTCGTAATAATGATTCATGTTGAATATAACATCAATAAACAGTATTCTTTTCAAGAAAATGTGGATTTAGTGTGTTATTCTAATATATTCTGTAGTGACTGATGTTATAGCTCAATCGTTTGATAATAACGATATATTTTTAGAAATATTCTTACATTAAAAGGATATTTCCCTAAGACAACAGTGAAATCTTATTCGAAATGCATTAGCTCATGCTTCATCTTTGGTAACAATAACATCCATTTTTTAAAAGAAAGTTGATTTTACAAAACTTATATAGTTTGTTAGTAGCCTCAGGCTTGATTTTATAGAGCTTTCTACAGTTATTTTTTCAGACTCAGACTATTGATTTTGCAGAGCTTTTTACAGTTATTTTTTCAGACTCAGACTATTGATTTTGCAGATCTTTCTAGAGTTATTTTTTCAGACTCAGACTATTGATTTTGCAGAGATTTCTACAGTTATTTTTTCAGACTCAGACTATTGATTTCACAGAGCTTTCTACAGTTATTTTTTCAGACTCAGACTATTGATTTGACAGAGCTTTCTACAGTTATTTTTTCAGACTCAGACTATTGATTTGACAGAGCTTTCTACAGTTATTTCTTCAGACTCAGATTGTTGATTTTTACGGAGCTTTCCACAATTTATTTTTCAGATTCAAACTGTTAATTTTACAGAGCTTTCTACAGTTCTTTTTTTTTTCAGACTCAGACTCCTGATATTACGAGCTTTGTAAAGTTGTTTTTTCAAACTTTTGATTTTAGAGAGATTTCTATGTTTCCTCTTCAGACACTTGAAGAGAATGTATCTATAATAGCGAGCCTTCATTTCCTTAACAACAAAAATCTTCAAATTATTATATGTCAAAAAAAAAGAAGACACGAGATGTAAAAGCTATGTACAACGAAAAATTTTCACCTTCTGATATAGAAGATACATTCTTCATTACTATAGTTTTTCAAGGAAGATTTGTTTCATATTGAAATTCTGCCTCCTTGAATCTTGATACCGGATTAAAAATACTTTTTTTTTTCGTAAAGGACACCAACGTAAACTTTTACTAAAAACTAGCGTAAAAGAAACCACTGGAACCAAAAACTGTTCCGTATAAAATTGGCAATACACAAAATAAATAAATAAAAGTAACATGCTACATATTGGTGCCTTTGGATAAAAGATTAAAACATACAATGACCATGTGATTGCATACGCACCAGTTCTTCTTTTGAGGCAAAATCGTCCTCTTCCCTACAGATAATTGGTATCTTCAATTTGTTTCAACAAAAGCTTTTTTCGTAATAATTCCCAAGCATAGATTTGCGCTAATTTTTAAGTTATTTTTTACAGGCGTTGATAGGGTGAGAATGCGCTTCAGTGTCTTCGGTCACGGGAGTCTTCTCGCCCTTCCTATTCAGATTCTACCAAGCTCGACGTCATAATGATATGGTGTTCCACACATAACGCCATGCCTGATCTGGCCAAGGGAACTTCCTCCTTGACAGGCTTTTATATAGCAGAAAACGTTTCGAAATTTATGAGCTATTTACGTCTATGTTAGCGATTGAATCCAACTAAAATGGGACGGGCAATTAAAAGAGGAAGTTATAGGATAAAAAGTGGAATTGGACTCGTGTAACTCCCGAAATTCGGAGAAATCGAGTGTGACCGACTGACTGACCGACCGACACTTGGCTTTTATGATTATGTTTAAATTTATCATCCATAACCATTTCAAATATCTCCTATTACCACACAACATGACATTTCATCAAATAACACTTCTTGGCTAGTTAAATGTGATAGTGTTACAGTTTTATAAAGAGTTACTTGTGGTATTGTATTAATATTACTAAACAAAGCAATGGTGTCCTGAGATTTGGATCCTACGTTTATAACTTTCTCAAGACCATATAACAATCCAAGGGATAATATGTCACCTGTGAAGAAGGCTAAATAGAAATCTTTATTGAAACGCTATAATGATATTTGGGTTCGAACTTTAGAAAACGTACGATTATCTTAACGTAAGACGCCACAAATAAGGATATTTTCAAATGACTTAGGTAAGGTACATTTCTGAACTTTAAACAGTAAATTATGATAAGCATTAAAATTAAAAGATGTCACTTTACACTGATGTGCCTGAATCTCATTTATTTGAAACTCTAGGACCGTAAAATGCACACTAACTAAATTTCACGTAACCCTAAATTGCAGGAAGTCTACACGCGACTGCTTCTTACCTTGTTCTGCTAAATTAGCTGTTTGGCTTACTTAATCAACAAAAACCTAATCCAATTCGTTGTATAAACGTTATTAGGTCTTTTTAAACCTAAGTGGAAGACGACTGGACTAGATGTTTCCTAAATACCTGTTTATAATAAACAACACTCCAGCTCTCAACTGTTATATGTAGAGCCGCTCGTCCATTATGCACACAGGAACATTTTTCATTACAGTTACAATGGTCCGGCATGCCTAGGTGGTTAGTGCGCTCGACTCGCAATCTGAGGGTCGCGGGTTCGAATCCCTGCCCCACCAAACATGCTCGCCCTTTCAGCCGTGGGGGCGCTATAGTGTGACGGTCAATCCCACTATTCGTTGGTAAAAGAGTAGCCCAAGAGTTGGCGGTGGGTGGTGATGACTAGCTGCCTTAGTTGAAAAAAAAATTCTTGGAAAAGTGAGTAAAATTTATAAATAATATATAAAAACGAGTTACCAACACGTTTAAAAAAGCGCTTCTTGGATCCGTTATAACGTGACCTTAGTACAGTGTTTAGTTGACCAGATGACAGTTATAAAAGAGAGTTGAAAGTTCGACAATATTGCTTTGAAAGCATAAAAGACAAGCACATGTTTTCTATTGATTTATTCTTATTTCTGGTACTCCGGTTGGTTTGGTTTTGGTTTTCAGAATTTTCGCAGAAAACTACACTATCTACGCGTAGAAGTCCTTAGCTTGGAACTGGTAGAGTAGAGGGAAGACAGCAAATTTTCTTTGACACAATAGTTTGATTTGACTGTTGCTCGTATAGTAGCAAACCCACAGCCCTAAAGTAGGAGCACGTTTTTATGGGAATGGTTCATGAACCACGAACCCTCGTTTTCACATTCTCCGGGCGTGCTAACCAGTAGACTTCGCCTCATGATGTTTCGAGTGACAACTATTTATTATTTAGCACATCATCTGTTGAGCTTGAGAATCACGCAAAGTTGTGTGTAGCTAATAAGTTACTTATTCAAGAAACATATCCTAAGATATAACAAGTTTAATAATGGCTGGAGACGACTTGAATGGGTAATGAAGAAAAACTTTAATATAAGTTTAACATAACAG